TTCTGCAGGGATGACCGCGTCGACGCGGAGAGGCTGCGCGGGCGGTGGAGGGGGAGGGGGGAAAGGGCGCGAGGCCAGGCGAGAGCCCTCGAGCGGGATAGCGACGCCGATCGACAGCATCTCGAGAGAGCAGCCACCACACGCCGCAAGCCGCCCAACAGGCCGCACCGGCAGCGAGGGCCCTCCTCTCCCGGCCGAACCACTCACGCCAACAGAGGGCCGCCGCCTCCCTCGCTCACGCCGGCGACGCGCCGATAACAATGTCAAGTGGCAGAAGCATGCTTTCGGTATTAATAACGAGAAAACATATTAACTCTTCGAGTGCATTTCTCCAATTCATACGCGGATGTAATTTAGGCTCATTTCTTTACCTCAAACTTTTCACACAAATGTTTACAAGCACTTGATGCACACTTGTTATTTGGAATTATTAATTCAGAAAGTGATGCTATTTATTTGTTTCATTTATCATATCATACTAAATAACAAAGACAATGTTGTTTCTAGAAAAAATCATTCCAGCTTATCCTAAAAACTATACATAGGTGTCCTCCCAGCAGGAGTATGTTTGAAACCGCGCTACCAATTTGGAATAGACAAGCACTGCAAATAATCACTTAGAAACCGTAATATAATACTATTAAACTGAAATGGACACTTTTAAAGAATTTTTATTTAGTAATTTATATGTTAAATGTGGCATTTCTCATCCTAATCGCAAACAAGTCGAATTAATTCCAACCAAAAAAAAACTTAAAAATGTGTTGCAAAACATTATTTGCTCCTGAGGTCACAATGACTTGAAAAATTAGAGAGAGGCTATGAGTTAATAAGCCTTTATACTAACATATAATTGTTCTATTTGTAAAAAAATAAATGGTACGTAACGTGTGCACTACTGGAAAATACAATATCTTTTTACTCAAAGAATGATATATATTATGCTCTCAAAATCAGAGGATGTACAAAAGAGCTCCTACCAAGCGCATAAATCGAACGTTCAGAGACAAAAATATGCGAAGGAAACGTGAGATTCAAGTACCATACAAAGGTGCTTGCGGGTACAAAACAAACTAAAAAAATGAGTAAAAGACTGCATCACTGCAGGCAAAATTCGAAAAACAGTACAAACAAAAATGAAGAGTAGCACAGCATGGACTGGAATTCAAAAAAAGAGCTCTCCTGAAAATAAAGGAGATTTACAAGATTCTAAAACCGTATTGATTGAAGCATGAGAAAATAATTTTAAAAACTTGAGTTTCTTTTACATTTGTCAGTACGTACTTTTACAGATGCGATGGGAGAAGTATTCTCGGAATAAATCAATCCATATTTGTCGCCGAGATTTGTACTCTCTAACAATGTTAAGTAGGCTTTTGTATAGGAAAAACGCAATTTTTCTTTTTAATAAAGTAATTCGATGAAGAAAAATATTGAGAAAATATACAGGAGGAAATGCGCAAAAGTCTTCATTTCATTACCGAGAAACCCGCAGTCGACCATGTTTATCGTGTTTCCTTCCGCGATGTGTAGAGGGCCTTCGGAGAACCTCGTCGTTAGCGGAGGATGAAATTCAAGATAATGGGCCTCCGCACAGAACACATAATAGTACTCCTAATTGGAGTACTTCTCCTGCAGACTACCTCTTTAGTCTTCCGGTGAATTCGGTCTCAGGGAGGGGCGCTTGTTTGCCCGCAACCGAGCTACATATACGAACGCACCGCGAGAAAGCCAACACTGGAGCTGGTAGTGTTGCGTCTCCAGTGGCTCAAGCACCATTTACACGTTGGGGCTAGTCGGCCGAAAGTTTGCTAGCCGGTCTCCACTGTCTTCAATGGGATGGACTCATGGAAGCGTGCAAAGACATGCACGTTGTCCGCGCTGACTCTACACAGCACGCGTTACAAAACAAATGGCGTCGCGCAGAACTGCTATATTTATATATAAATAGAAGTGAATGCACGTGTGTATGTGTGTGTGTTGCACATAGACGCAAAAACTACTAGACATTTTTCTATGAAATGTTCACACATTGTGCTTATTAGTATTGAGAGTGTGTAAGAATGGTTTGAATTAAATCAGGAAATTAGGGGCGTTGTTGATAATGATTTATGCGTTTATGACGAATCAAGCGTCCCTGAAGAGAAGCTCTACGCAACTCGTCGCACCATCATGTAATATAAGCATCTGTCATGGCATACATGTTTTCTGCACCTGCAGTTGTGAAATATAGGACGGAATTATTACTTGAACAATATATCGGACCAGTAAACCATCGCAGTGTCATAGCGAACGCATGCTTAAACAAACAAGTTTTGGATTGGGATGGAAATTTAATAAGATTTGATTATTGAAACAATTAAAATTTATCTTTCACCTATGCTAAATCATTTTTTGGTACATTCATTTATAACATAACATTATAGCAATTTAAAAAACCGTAATAAAAGCAATAAAAAATAAAATAAAAAGTAAATTATAATTACTGGTTTCGTGATTACAATTGATTGGGATGTGTAAATCTGAACGTCCTTATCCAAATGAGAAACTGTCCAATTTTCAACCAGCTGTGGTAGCTCAGGGCATCAACTGATGTGTCTGCTGAGACTTCGATCGGATGTAGAACGGTGGAAGGATTTTCGACACTAGCTAGGTAGGTAGGTCGAATTCATCTGCTGTCTGGAGAAAACTAGCGGTCGGCTGCTCGGATCGGTAGTTTCTCGTGGTTTCTCCGACAAACACCAGGCGAATGCGGAAGCAGTACCCTATCAATCAGGCCACGAACCGCCAGCAATCTTTCCTTTCTCTTCCTTGTTCTACCCTCAACTCGTACTCACACGTACGCTAATATGTAGTACGCTAGTACTTGTCAGGGGCTTAGAATTTGCCCCGGCTGTGGAGTGGCCGGGAGTAGATACCAGGAAGGGGAATCCTCGAATGTCGGCGAGTAGGTCGACGTCGTATCACATCATCCAGCGCAGAAGAATACGCCACCTCCCGCAACAAAAACACACACTATACTATAAACGGACACACGCGCGCGTCAATGAATAAATCAATGAACGAATTTGTAATTGGCTGGATCCTCTCTCGCACGGCACCTGCCTTCTCCGCAGCCAGTCTCCCCCAGCCCACCCGCTTCGTGTGAACGGGGCTTACGGCGCAGAAGTTGTGCGAAGAGGCGAGCTCGTCCGGCGCAGGACGGGGCGGGGCGAAGCGGCGCCCCCGCCATTGTGGACCGCACCGCGCGCAGCCCGCGGGGTCGTCTAATCACCCATTCAGCGCGGCGCTTTGTTCGCAGGCCTCGGCTCCGCCCACGCCCACGCCGCCCACGCCGCCCACGCCGGAGGACGGGGTGCCGGGGCGGTTCCGCGGCGGGCGCGCGGTTTGATATGTAATTATCTTAACATGAGATTCACCACCGGCGGAAGACATCCCGTCACTACATCTGCGGCCATTGTTCGTGCGGCAAAGTCGCCGGGGGTGGGGGTAAGGGACGGAGAAGGGAGGAGGGGCAGCGGACGGCGCAGGGTAGTGGGTGAAGGAAAGGAAAATACTGGTATGTAAAGCGGAGAGGTGGTGTGTTTGAGGCATGGGGAAAGAAATGGCGGAAAAGGGCGTAGTGGGGAGAGAACACCTAGAACAGTAGGGAGAAGGAGAATGGAGGGGAGGGGCCGGAAAGGTACTGGTTGTGGGGAGGTACGAGTAGGGTCAGAGGGTGCGAGTGATCAAGTTGGGAGAGGAGGAGAGGGGAGGGGGAGGGGGGGAGGGGAGAGGCGAGAGGGACAAAGAGACCAGAGGGTGGCGTCCCGACGGGGATGGGGAGAGGGTGAGTAGGATGGTGAGGAGGGGAAAAATTAGTATTACGAGGAGGAGGGGAGAGGCAAGTAGGGGAAGGGGAGGGGATGGGCAAGCAGGGGTGGAGAAAGGGTGAGTGGGGAGCGGAGAAGCGATTAGAATTAGAGGGTAAGGAAAGGGGAGAGTAGGGGGAAGGAGGAGGGAATGGGCAAGTAGGGGTGGGAAGAGGATGAGTAAGGACAGGAAGGGAGGGGATAAGACATTAGTGTTAGATGAGGACAGGAGGGGCGAGTAGTGGGAAGGGGGTGGTGGGTGGAGAGAAGGTGAGTAGGGAGCGGATAGGAGGGGAAGGAAACGTAGGCGAAAAGGTATAGGGTTGGCAAATAGGGCTAGAAATGGTGAGTAGGAGGCAGCTCACTGAACGACAGCGCAAAATGGGAGGACAAGATTAGAACTTACAAAGAGTGGGAATGTTTGACGGAGATCAGACCATTTGGAAAAGGTAAAAGTAAAAATCAGGTATAATGTACACAAACTCTTACAAGGTTTTGAATCACCACCCATTTTACAGACTCTAGATGACGTTCCATTTATCCGTTTACCTTTGCTTGGATAAATAGCCATGGGCTGAATGTGGGCCAGGAAAGATTTCCCATCGCTTTGTTTTCTATGATGTTAATCTGTAGATCGTAAAAAATTGAATTGGAAGTGTTCAGAGAGTATCAAAGTAAACAAAAAAATGAAATGTAAAAATGTTAGATAAAGTATCTTAATTTTAAAGTTACCCTAAAACGGCAGTGAGGTAACGTTATGTCAAATATAAAACTGGTATTGATAGTAAGTAGGTTTGATATAAGCAAGAATTGAATGTTGTGAAGATTTGAGAATATGACACATGAGCATTTTCCTAAAGAATTTTCTTAAGTTACATAAAAGTTATAGAATCTCTGGAATTATTTCAGAAAATATCTTCTTCATAGTAACTAAATGAGATAAAAGAGTCCTCGTGTGAACTTATGGTATAATTTGAGTTTGCTTTTGTCTTGAAGATGTTGCTTATGAATGCTGAGAATTTACCTGTACTTAAATTTGATATATCGTAATACATAATTATAAATCAGGAGACATATCAAAACTGTTTAAGTAATGTTACCGGAACGTATATATCTTATAACTTCAAATTACTCTGTATTTCTAAGCTATTTTAATAAGTGTGGTTAAAGGCTTTATTAGTATTAACAGACCTGCAGGCTTTTAATATGTGTGCAAGTTGTTAACGAAAACAAAACAATCTGGAAGTTTTTTAACACGACTTTTCTCCGAATGAAACCGTTTTTTAAAAACTGGGCCTGCATATTATACACTTTATTTCTACGTCCTTAATATTCGAAATTGTTGAAGTTTTGGTATTCTTATATATTACAGTAATATAAGTTTCATTACTAGCGAGAAGTTCTGATAAAATTTGTTCAGTACGACGGGTGAATAAAGGTCGCGAGGTCGAAAGTAGCACGTAGCCCGAAATGGGCGGAAGAGGAGGTGGCAGTCAGAGAAAACGGAATAAAAAAATATCTGTAGAGAGGAGATCGCCGGAAGTAAGTGGATGTTCGCGAAAGCGACGAAAGTGGACGACATGCGGGCGAGTGGGTGTTTTTGAGGTAGAGAGAGATGTTTCAGCCGTAAGAGGCTTACAGATAGCGTCGACATATTTGATGGCCGAGAAGTACACGAAAACACCTGAAGGACAGCGAGAAGGAAACAATGACTTCTAAGCAAGCGGCAACTATGACAGCAAAGTGAGAGGCACTTGTCTCAAGGAGTTTTGATGTGACTTTCTAATGTGATTTTAGTTACATTTCGCATCTCCTCATAGTACGTCACTGACAATTTTTAACTTTTCACGTTAAATCAATTAATACATTTTTCTTCATCGTCATAAATAATCGCCATCATAATTCTCCTTACCATCAGGGATTAGAGTGTAAGCCAATTTTTGTAAAAAAATATGCAGTGGGATATTGAATGCTAATAAGTTATAGATGTGACAAATTTATATGTGCGCCTCTCCCCCTGATTGATGAACTATTATCTTGAATTGGTCTCTGAAAGGTACCCAGACTCTATCGGAGGGAAGGTTCCTACGAGTTTGTGTTCCTGCCAAACTCCAATGGAAAATAAGTACATCGTAATAAGGAATATCATATGCTCATTGACAAAAGTCTCAATATTCCACCTCGTAAATTCCCTAGACGTTTGTAACATTCATCCTAAACAATTCCGAATAATAACCTAAACATTTAATTTTAGAGCTAATCTAAAAAACTTAAATAATAAGAAAATGTTAGCAAATAATTTACAATTTCCTCAAGGTTCTCTGCGGATAGAGCCGAGAAACCGGGATGGAGTTTATTTAGGCCTGTTTGCCCGGCAGCATTGCAAAGGCGGTCAGCAAGGGGTTAGAGCTCTCAGTGAAAGGCTGGCCTCGAGGGGGTTGGAGGGTCAGATGACCAATGGTAAACAAGCCCCTGAGGCCGCACCCGATCGCGTTATGAATATTCGATCGGGAGCATCGCCATTCCAAGGTCCAAAATATTTCCACGCATTTTCAGTGCTTAGGGGCCCCGGTCAGCGATCGAAGGACAACACTGCAAAGCTACGAAGCTTATGTTTTTACACATATGTATTATTTGTGTTCAACATGTGTCAGGGACATTATTATGCAATATGTCATTAACCTATTGGAACGATTCACTCATAATCAGAAAAAAGCCTTCATCTAAAATGTATATGACATTTTAATGTCACATCAAAGACGTCATCACAAGACGCTAATGTGGTGAAATAATTATTTTTCAGGGACACAGACTTGAACAATTTTGTACGGTCAATGGTCGGCAATAGACAGATTTTAGTATAATATTCATGGAGACAATTTCTTTAATCAGTGGCGTGTTTTATATTTAAATGTATTAAATCATTTATAGAGAGTGTTGCTGGACAACTGACAGTAAGAGCTATGATTTGTCACATAAAACAGGACATACCCTGTTGGAGAGATAACGGTCTGGAACACAAAAGCTAGACGATTCGATGCAAGAGGACAGTGTCTGTGATAATAGTTAAAAATTCTATTTTTTGAAGTTGGTAGCATTATATTATTTGAGAGCAGAAAAGTACTAAAAAGTTTTAAATTATAGTTTAGAGCAAAAAATAGGTGGCCTAAAAAAGGAGAAAATAGTCTTTCAAATTACTTTTAGTGTAAAAAAATCAAAGGTTTAGGCAGTGGTATCTTCTATTATTCTAAGTCTGTCATGAAGAAGTATGCCCCAAAATTTCTAACTAGTTGTACCACAGACGGTCACTTGTGCAATGGCCTCGTAAAAAATATCTAAATAAAATCACTGAAGAATACTTTCGAGTGGCATATCCTTGGCCAGGCAATCAAATAGAGACCACTACTAACTGGCATTCTTTGACAATTATAGAAATTGTGAGATGAAAATGATAATTCAAACGTTTATACTGTATAGGGTTCTTAGATTATTCGAAATCCATCATAGTCACAGAGAGATAAATCCGTGCCTTAAACTCAATACCTTAGCTCAAAATCGTTGCTTCCGCGGAATTGAGTGTAGATTGGAAGGATTTATGAATTTTATGAAATTTGGTAAGGAGTGTTACTCCCCCGTAGAAGATTAGTAAGGGGTAGAAGCATAATTATGGCTACGTAGCAAGAAAGTTTTTGTTTTGTGACAATAAAACGTTTGAAAACGTAAAACTAGACGATAGTTGATTTTTGAATCAAAATAATATAATGTTTTAAAATACAACCAACGAAATTTATTTCAGAGTTAATATCCTACGATGAAATCCAAAAAATAAAGAAAGTGATCAACGCAACAGAGTATCTAGCATTTTAGAAAGCTCCCTTCTTAATCCTCGTGAAGTGTTTTAAATAATTCTTCTAATTAAATGCATAGTCAAAACCGAGTGTTTTTTATAATAGTGACAAAGTAATTCAGTCAAATCCGCGTGTATTTGGCGTGGCATACGTAGAAAGTGCCCTGGAAAATATGAGCTTCCACAGCTGGCTGTTTGTTCAGAAGGAGCATACTATTCGCTAAAACAATAAATTTCGAGCTTTGTGAGACAAGGAGCTACGGTTGTGTAAATAAGTTATAAATGAGTGTTTGCTTTCAAAATGTACGCACTGTACATATGCCGAGCACATTAATTAGCTGTGAACTTAAGCGCTTTCGACGCCACTGAAAAGTTTTAATAAGTTTATGCCATATCATAAAAATGTATGAAACCATATATCTTAACGATGAAAACTTTCTTGAATTAAATTATATAAAATATCTCGTAAAACTCTGCCAATTTTTATATTTCTATTTCATTTTATTATCTTTAAGAACTTCCGAGCGCTATGTA